CGCCGGATTCAGCTTCAACCGGCTCAGCCTAAGCCAACCAGCCACTGCCTGGAACGCCCGGTCCAGATCTTCCGGTCTGGAGTCCGACCGGCCACCCAACATCAGATAGAGCTGGGTGTCACCAGTGTACTGATGGCAACCCAACCCATACCTCCGAGCCACCTGGGCAAGGGGGCGCATAAAGATGTTAAACAACATTGGGGACAGTACTGCGCCCTGGGGTACCCCACACTCAAGTGGGCATCTCCCGGACTGCTGTTCCCCAAGCACCACCCTTTGTCCCCAACACTGGAGAAAGGAGACAAGCCACTGTAAAGCGAGCCACTGTATTTCCATGTCGGCGAGGTGGTGGGCAAGCAGCTGTTGATCGACCATGTCGAACGCAGCCGCCCCGTTCCCGGTGTCTACGGAGGTTGTCAGTAAGAGCGACAAGCACCATCTCCGTCCCGTGACCTGGGTGAAAACCAGACTGGAAGGGATCTAAAGCTGGAAGTTAACTCATAACCACAGTTATTTAGGCAGTTTGTAAAAAAAGAAAATCCAAAGAAAATCAGTAAAACCCTAGTACAAATGCAATAACTCTAATGGTCTTAACAAAATAACTCTAGTAGCATCTAAGAAGAAACTGTTGAAACAAAGGTTACAAGAGGAGTTTCCGTTTAGTTAAAAACGGTTAAGGGTAGGAGCTAATAGAGCCAACTAAAATATATATTATTCCCTAATATCTGTCCAGTAGCACCTTAAAGACTAACAAAATACATGGCAGCTTTCATGAGCCACTGTTCACTTCTTCAGATACCATAAAAAGTGAGCAGTGACTCATGAAAGCTCATACCCTGCCACGTATTTTGTTAGTCTTTAAGGTGCTACCAGACTCTTGCTCTTTTCTGCTGCTACAGATAGACTAACACGGCTACCCATCTTGATCTATTCCGAAATATCTGGATTTTTTTTAAAAAAAAATCTTTGCTTGACATCTAAAGTTCAATAGTAGGTGCTAAACAAGTGAGTGCAGAGACCGAGTTCCATAGTCTTTGTTCCACTCCAGAATTGTTCTTGAAAATGCATTCTTTTCGTGCTGGTGAGATATATTTTCTGTAAAGCTGCTCTAATCAGTTCCTTAACATACCTGAAAGGCAGTCCCATGGAAGAGGGCATAGAAGTAATTAATCTGTATGCGATAACAGTACAGGTAATTGGCCAAGTCTCACTTTTGAAGGGTAATGCTGGCAAACCAAATTCAGATAATTTTTTTAAATTTTTATTTCAAATAATATTGTTTACAAATACAGATTTTGATATAAACAAATAAAAATACATATCACCTTAGCAAGGTATTTGCATTTAACATCATAATCTAGTAATGTAAATTCTATTATCAAATACAAATCTATAGTTAAATAGTTAAATTAAACCATAACTTAAATCGTTAACTTTGAACTAAATATACATAATGACACAGAACTTGTGAAGCTATAAAACCCTAAAATATCACAATTATTTCTTTGTATTTTAATGGAATTGAAGATGCAATAGCTGATGAATTTGAGAGTGAGAATTCTATGAAATCTAGCCATTTTGCAAACCAAATTCAGATAATTAAAGGCACTGTGAAAGTTTGGAAACATGGATCCCATAGTATTGTTAAGCCATGGTAGGTAACATTTTCTAATCGAGTGTCATAAAAAAGCAACATTTTCCGTGGAGATATTGCTGTGCTGGCAAACAGAGGAAAGGGAAGAGATAAGGGTTGCACTTGGCTGTATATACTGAGAACAACCCAAGCCCATGCACCACAATGAACACCTCAGGGGCTTGCCAGTTGCTTATCAGAGAACCAGCCCTGTGTACTGAGCAAAAGGGTCTTATGTGCTGCTGTCTGGCATATGTGCTGGAAGTTAACTATCTTTGCATTAAGCTATGATCTAAAAGAGGCTTAACCCTTCACTCCCTGGTTAGCTTTATTGTCACAACCAGAAACACCTGAATTTTGTCTGGATCCAGCTTCAGGGCCCTCATGCTTTTCTGGATCCAGCTTCAGAGCCCTCTTCTGTCCATTACTAATTCTAAATATCTGCTCACAACATCCCCTGCCTCACTTGAATTTGCTGAAGAGAAGAAACGGAATTAACTATCTTACTCATGTTGATGATTCTTTCATCCAGATCTTCAGATGACCAGTCCTACTGGCTTCATGTAGCTGTAGAATAGTTCGGGGGTACAGCAACTCAATAAGTGGTGCTGGCAGGGCAGCCCTTCAGTCATGTCTCCTTTTTCATTTTGGCTAATTTAAAAAGTTATACTTTTCTGTATACCTGGGGAGCAGTGTTCCCTCTAAGTTGTGCTAGGGCTTGCTGACGAACAACATTTTAGCTAGCTGTTCAGGCATTTCAGCTTCCAGCTCACTATGGAGGATAGGGCACCTCCTTCTGGGGCCCATAGAATTGGATTCTCTGGTTCAATCTTTTTGAAACTTGGGGGGCTTTTTGAGGAAAGGCACCAGCAGCTATGCTGCAAATTTGGTGCCTCTACCTAAAAAAAA